ATGCGTTATTTCTGACATTTCTCATATGTGTATTATATGGTTTATAAGACGTATATACTATCTGTCATTGCGATGACAGGTTGTGTTCACTGACAACATGTTAAATAAAAATAACAATAGCGTGCGCGTAGCGCGCGCCTGTGTTGTGCTAGTTCAGAAAAAAATGAAAAGAAAGGGAAATGTACGCTTGAAAGATGCTGAAGTTTTTGTGTGAGATTTATGTCAGATATGTGTGTGTTAAAGAAGATAATATACGTGACAAATTCAAAGTTAAACTTCTGTTTGCAAATATATTCAATTGTGAATTAATTGATATTAAAAGTTTAATTTCAAAGTATATGTTAATAATACAATTGTGGATTAAAATTTGTAAAGGTTAAGGATTGGACAATGACTCTTTTATATTTTGTTGTGTACTGTAGTTAATCTCAAGATATGATTGTCTTAACGCAACTTACCAGTGACTTAACGTTGACGTTCGATAAATCGTCCTCGTCGGAGAGATCGATCGTCTCCGAATGCGATCGCCGAGTACCCGTGTGCATGCTTGCGTCTTGTAAGTTACAGTTCTGATATGAAAAAAAAATGAAACACAAAAAACTCACTGAGCATGCAACGAGAGATTAATAAGCTGTACGTATCTACGATAATTTGCATCGAGCCGTTAGTTTTGCAAATATCAATGACAAAAGTGATTATTACATGCTACAATAATTTTGCAGATTTCTTCACATAATTACATTTCACACAAAAGAAAATTTCTAAAAATAAAAAAATAATTTTAATTATACAAAGAAACACTTAATATCTTATTAAGGAATTAATAAATAAAATTGCAATAAATACTACAATATTACGCAATTGTGACATAAATAGCGTGAATTCTAACTTTCTGTCACTGCAGGAGTTTTATTATTTTCATAATGTCGTTCGATTTTGCGCCTTTCAAACGTCTTTCTCGGAACGGAAGTAAAAGCTTAAGTTTAATAACTGCAAAAAGACGAAGAGCCACGCGACAAGACCGTAGCGATCTCGATCAATCGTCCCACTTAATACATAGCTTTGATATCGATTGCGATCGCGTATGTCAGATCGTCGAGATTCCGCGAACACAGTGAGACAGATAAAAAACTCGTTCTTATCTGTGCCGACGAAATCTGGAAAAGCCGACGTGCCGCATGCAGATGAGAAGACCGAAAGCGCGAACTTCCGGTTTTCACCGGCGCGATCGCTCGATCGGTCGAAGCGACTTACCGCAAGAGCCACGTGATAATTAACGTGATAACGGTGCCACTTATGATCATTTCATATACGTTGTGCCGCATTAAAGGATTGCTTTCAATTATATTTTTCGATAATTGTCGATTGTCAATGACAAGTGACAATTAAGACTTCTCGATATTTTCGCGGCCATATTGAATTCGAGTCAAAAGCGAGAAAAAAACGAAAAAGTTTTGTATGCACTTTCTGTGAAAATAAAAGATTATTTCTGTATAAACGCATATGAAATCAATAGAGCACTCGTAAAATATATCGAAAACTCTTCTTTTGATTCAACAACAAAACTGAGAATACTCAATGGAATCGAAACATAAGCTTGTTACAAGTTTTGACAACTGTCGAATCATACTTTGATTTTGCGTTTCTTAAACTAAACTATACTTGGAACAAAATTACCGGTTTATTTTACAGATGTGCTTTGTCGAAGTGATATATCTACCTAATTCTAACAAAAAAGTGCAAACAGCGCGAAAGATCTCGCGCTTTCTATTAGTTCTCACGACGATTCTTCGATGTCACTTTGATCGTCAAATTGAACCTGACGCTTAGATATCGAGGAGCCTTAATAAGAACAAAAATCACGCTAATATAAATACATCCTGTTATAGATAAAATAACGTGACAGAGAAACGTAACAATGTGTATAAATTATGTGACATGTATAGGATGTCTCAAAGAGTGAACTTTTAGGTTTTTATTGCTAAAACTTACGCCAAAATAAAATCGCAAAATAAATTCTTAAATTCATCATTATGCCGTGAATAATAATAAAAAAATATATAAGAAAATGAATAACAATAAGAAAATATATGTTTTACCATCAATAAATTAAGACTTCACTCCATCTCTCTTTTCTTTTCTTTTCTTTTCTTTTTTTTCTCTTTGCATAATTAATTTTAATATTAATTTATCTCATAATGTAATAGGGAAAACACTCAATTTTTTAAATACCTACTCATTTTTCTTCAAAATTAACATAAAATTTATTCTACATTAACTTTGATTACATTTTTAATCATGTGTTTTCTTTGAGAAAGATGTCTAAAAGACAATAAGACGTTTTTAAATCGTCTTTTAGAGACATGTCTGGATTCGAAGCTTCAAGCCGCGACGATATTCAGAGAATTGGTACAAGTGAAAGGATGGATTCTGAGACACCCTGTATACTGACACACGCGTCTATCTAACCGATTTATAACTTACCACGGAGATGTTCTCTTTCTCGAGATCGCTCTTCTTGCTTTTCTTGGTTTTCTTTGTTCGCGGCGTGAGGTTCGGCGAGGAAGCATCGTTACCAGCAACGCCCTCGATCTTCTTCTTCTTCGTCTTCGTCCCGCCCTTGGAAGAAGTCACCGCGGTGGAGCTGGTAGTCACCGTTTCCTCGCGACTTTCGCTCTGAGACAAGAAAATTTATACAAATTACATCCGAAATAATGTTTCTTTAAATATTCACATAGTTTTCTTACTTTTCGTATGCGCTAAGAGTATAACTCCGAGTGTTATCAGAAGAAGTTGATTTTTATGTTTAGATTGCCAAAGAGGACAACGTTTAATTCGAGTATAAAAATTAGTCGCAAGTGCAAAAACATCCGAAATATTACATATCTCTAATTGTTAATCGGATAGTTTTCAATGGCAAACAATTAAAATGAAAACATTTTTTTTGCCGGAGATAGCGAGTATACACATCTTTCACGAGTGCCATAGAGAGAGCACGCAGTCTCCTAGAAAGGAATATCTAAAGACTCACAAGAACTAGACTTAGCGTGCGCCAATTGTACTGGTGGGATTCAATTGACTTTATTGTGCACGTTGCGCTAGGTGAAACGCGGTCTTTGCGGTCAGACACGGAAGTTTACGTTGCCTAACTAACACGATTTGCAAGCAACAATATCGATTTCACGATATCGCGACGTAATCTTTCATTCTGATGTAAAAGTACACTATAGCAAAGAGAGAAAAAATGTGTTTTACTATATCGTTCATCTTTTCCTTCTGACGTGCGATTTTCCACTTTTGTTTTACTCACCAAATTGTGCAAGAAATTTGAAAAAAATTAATAAAAAAATATAAAATTAATTTACGTAATATCTGCCGCACTAAAAAATATAATTTCTATTTAATTCGATAAAATAAAATTATTTCATATAATATATTTATAAATTTATTTTATATTTTTATATAGTAAACCAAATAAAAATTGTTTGTGACCCGAAAAACTCTGTTCTAACAAAAAACCTTGTTTATTCGAATATTACTTTGCAATATGTGATTCTTTTTATGATCAGACTTGTGTTCCCAGTGTACGTCATTCGAGATGTACGTGAGCGTGCATAACACGATCATCCGCACGTTAGAAAGGTACGATTTGAGACGGAATATTTGTTTAATCGTATGGTTTCACCCGCGGGTGGAACTAGTCCGATATTGCACGCTGCAATTAAAGCGTCGCCCGCCTACGTGATTCTCGGTCCGACTCATAATTGTCCGACTCGTAATAACGCGAACCGCGCACGATAACGCGCTGAGGTAACAGAGCAATTATTCGAGAGAACTGCGAGACGACACGAACCGACTAAAAAGAAACTTAAAATTACACAAAAGTGTTACTAATCTGATTAGAATTACTTTGGAAAACATTCTTTTAACTAGAATTCTAAATTGTAAAACAAAAACATAGAAATGTTATTGTTTATTTCTCTAACTGTCGAATACGATAATCGTGTTTTGAAATATTCCGTTCGGAGCACGCAACGGCTTGTTTTGAGAGCGAGTATCGCAGAGTCAACTGATAAGAGTGCCGAGTTTTCATATTCTCGACGATTTATGCGTCGCGACGTAATTTGCCCGACAGGTATGACCAACCGACAAGGAAGATTTCCGATAAGCTCTCCTCCTTCTCCTCCGGAAAGCAATATTCCGGAACGTATGAGTTATGCGAGTATAGCGCAAAAAGCGTGACATAATGCGACATAATCTTTGAGCGCAACATTCGAGACTATTAATTATCTGAGTCGAGAAATCGTAGCACGATCGAAACACAATTTCGGTCGGTCGCAGTAACGAATACTTATTTATTTTCAATCGAATATCAGTGAAGCGTATTCTGTATCAAATCTAATTTTAGTGCATGTGGGTCTCGCGTCATCATTCTCGAAATTAATGTCGTTTATACAAAGTGATTAAAAAACAGAAACTTTACGTACATGCTAAGTAATATTTATAAAATTGCGTCGAAACAAAACAAGTAAAAAACCAATATCTTGACTAAGTTGTTAAATTTATCCTCTCATGATTCTTCCATATAATTAGAACTCTCTCTCTTCTTATACTTGCATTTTTCAATCCAATTACAAAAGCAGGATTCGAGCACATACTCTGTCTCCATTAGTCGCTTATCTCAGGAACCGGAAGAAAGTTGCGTTTTCCACGCTACTCACCGAGAACTTTCACGCGGAAGCAATCGCGATTTTGCACATCGATCACATCACCACCGATTCACAAACTCGCATCACCGCTGTACTTTATTCGACGTTGCTTCGAGCTGCGGCCTGTAGCATCTTCGCCGACCACGTACTCCGAATGACGAACGAGCGTCTACCTTGGCAACGAGGTCGACGAAAGCCGATGTGGAACAGAAGAAGAAGAAAGAACAAGCCGGACTTGAAGCGCGAACGGGATGGTCGACGACCGAAGCGAGAGTGGGAGTGAAGCAAACGAACAGAGAAAGAAAAGTAGACGGAACCGGAAAGGAAAGAGAAGGACGACGCTCGTAAGAAGGGAACGGAGGGAAAAAAGGCGAATGTTCTTGCTCAACGACCGTGTCGTCTGATGCCGACCTCCCCCGCTTGCTTTTATCGCAAGCTGCACCAGGTTGGAAGGTCAGACAATTGTCGTCCCAGGTCGTACCTGATCGATGCTCATCCTCGGTACGCAGGAACGCAAAGGAACACCACACACTGGCAAATGCCGCAGAGGTGTCTGAAGCAGGTTTTCCCGAGGCGAGCGTGTGTTTCGTAACGGGTTCAGGAAACCCGATGCTCTCCAAAGCGTGGCACGAGCTTCCCGACCGTCACCGATTGGCCGCTGGAAGCGGACACGTGGAGCCGGTTGGTCGGGAAAGAGCTCGCGGTTCTGTTGGACGAGCAGCGGAACCCGCAGCGATCCGAAGAGGAACGTTCCAGGAGCGAACAGCCGGAGGAAGAGTAGTCGCCGCGCCGTTCGTGAGATTGCGCACGATCGACTTTGATGCGACCCCGATCTGTTCGGCCCTTAACTAGTAACATCCGTCTAGAAAAGACGGACATTCTTGATTCAAAAGAGAGATCTCGTTTCGTTCATCGTAAATGTATGTTGAATAAATCAATTATCTCTCTATTTTTATACATATATTTTTTTCAGCAAATCATCCTACTACGAAACGCACGAGTTTAAAAAATAGGAGTTGCTCATTAGTAGCTGATACAAGACCCGTATCGTTTAAAAAAAAAAATTATAATTGGCAACGGCATCAATAGAAATATCGCGTTATATCCGCACAGACGTTCTCGGAATCGCTTACCTGCAGGCTGCGCTGAAAAAAAAAATAAACGAGATTAATCGCCCTAACGCGCAAAAACATGCGTAGGAGTTGCATAGAGCGATGGTGCAATTAGTCTTGCGGGAATTGCTAGGGAGAGTGGATCCACAATGAGCTTACAAGAATTATTCAACGCAAACAGCCTGGACACAAGTTAAATTATGACACCTGTATTTCTCTTGCGCAACGTGCGCAGTGTGAGCATCCCGGACGTGTTTCGCGTACCACGTCCGCGACTCGTCTTAAAAGCGCAAATAATCCCATACATATCAAGATACGTACATATGTTGAATTTTTAGTTTAAATGTAAAGTTAAATAGTGATATAACGTCATTTGCTATTAATAATATCATAAGCATTGATTATTAAAAAAAAAGCGAACACTTACATCACAGGCGTTAGAAACATCGCTCGTCTCTGTCTCGTCTGGAGTGGCGAGAGGCGCGCGGGGTGACGCGAGTAAATCGTCCTGTTTACCCTCGCTATCGTTTTCCGTAACGTCGTTCAAATAACTATGTTCCGCAGCAATCGACATATCCTTTTTGTCTAGCTCCTCGGCGTCGGCTGCCGGTTTTGTGGCCTCCTCGACTGTAGTCCACGAGTCGAGATTCTCCGTTTGTTCGACAACATGTCTTTCCGAGAAGATTGTCACGCTCGTGTCCGACACTACGACTTCCGTTTTTTCGATGAAGGTCGAGTCCGACGCCGAGAGCTCGCTCGAGGACTCGTCCGGATTCTGCGTGTCCTCCACAACGTCTTTGGAGTCCTCGGCCGATTCGTTATCCAGGATCAATTCTGTCGGTGTCTGCAAACCGTTTAGCGGGACTTCAACAGATAGTCTTTTCTCAACGGCCGCATCATTCTCGTAATATTCCGTTTCAAGACATTTCTGTTTTGAATTATCGAAATTTATAGATTGATCGGTGGATTCGATCCAACGAGAATCCTCTTCAATTATTTTAGAGGGTGACGTATTATCCTGCAAAGGTGTTATCTTTTCTTCTTTCTCGATGTGTTCACTGAAATTATCAAGTTTATCGCTCGTGGAAGACTTTTTGAGAGAGTTTTGTTCTTCAAGAATTTGTTCCTGCTGATAGTTAGCTTCATCAAAGTTGTCAGAAAACTGGCCAGCTTGCTGGCTCCCGTCCGAGAGCGGTGCCTGCTCGCTCCAGGTGTCCAGGACGACGTCCGTGTCCTTCTTCTCCTGATCGATGTTAGGTTGAAGATCCGCGTCGTCCAGCATTTTCTGCCCCAGCTCTTCCTCCTGTTGGTGCTTATCTTCGAGACAAGTCGCAGGAGTTGGCGAAGGCTGAGAACCTGTCTCATCCATCAAAGCGTACGCAATGTTGCTGGAGTCCGGATCGTTCATGGACGGCACTGTGTCCTTGACAATCTGATAATCCTCACTGTCGTTGCTGTTGACGGCTTCGTCGCGACTCGATTGATTATCGTCGGTTACTTTTTGAACAATTATCAACGCCGCGTCAACTTCCGGCTGTTCGACAAACACCTGTTCCTCTTCCTCATCTCGGAAGCCTGTCGGTTCCGGTTTCACGTCGTTAACGTTTGCGTCTGGAGACACATGACCGTTCCGATGGCCGTAAGACTCCTCGATCAAAGAATAGTGCTCGCTCTCGGCTGCTATAAATTCTGTATTAATATCTACCGGATCTTGCCGGCGATCCAAGACGATTCTCTTGATCGTATCCGGCTGAGTGACGATTTCCTCGGGCTCTTCGGTGTCGGCGACAGTTTCATTCTCGTTCTTGTTTGAGCAAATCCTGAGCGCGAGCTCGCTCTCTATCAGCTCCTGCAGACTCTTGTCGTCGCTCTCGAGCTCGTTACGCGTGTTATTTGTGAGTATGAGATCGTCGTCGTCATCGTCGCACAACGAGATTAGTTGGTTGTTACTCGCGGTTAGATCATCCAAATCAATCAAACCGTTGTTAGATTGAACACCGCACACTTCGTTCTTCTTGTTACTTACTACATTGATCGACTTCTTCGTCGCCACCTCCGACATCGTGGATGCGATCCCGTGCGATCACACCGTGGACGCCTAAGAAAGAAATAATCAATTGTTTAACTGCACGTTTTACAATACAGAATTAAAATAATAATTTTAAAAACGTTAATTATACATCTTAATAATATTAATCACATCTAAGAATATATGAAAATTTATGAACGTTACTCTGTAGATTAATACAGAGATGAAACTGGGCAACGGGAACGCGAAATGTAGGACCGATAAATAACACTTGTGAACAACCGGTTTACCTATGTAATTTCGAGCTAGAAAGTGCGAGATAAGATAAAAATTTGCCGGGATGCGCGAGATTGTAAAGCGAAAAAAGACGTAAGAATTCGTATGTGAGTGTGTAAAATTAATGTTTGGATAACGAAAATGCGTGAAAATTCAATAACTTAATAAATGGTTATTTCGCGCAAAGTGAAAATGACGTCTATTAAAATAGAAAAAATATATGATACTTATAAAATAAATAATATGTTTCTCGTCATTTTTTTTTATATAAGAAGAAAATACAATTTACACAAAATTAAATTCTCTACAGATGTTAAAATTTTTGAAATATTTCAAAAATTTCTCGCGTATTTTGTGATCACACGCAACAATAATAAAGTCAAGTACACATAATTATAATTTATCAAAAAATTCTTAGTGTTCGCTAGACATATCGTGAATGAATTTATGATGTTATTTCTTCGGCGCTATGTTCATCGTAACGCGACTAGGTTGTCATTTTTCACTCGGCATGGTATGCGCGTGTGAATCCCATCTCTTCGATCCGCACACTTGACTTTCTCTGTGGACCGTATCGGCGCGCAAAGAAAGCTCTTCAGGGACGCGCATGGCAAACCATCTGCCACTCGATCAAGTAGCGCCGGTTTATGGTTATGCAAAATAAAGCCCGCGCATAAAGTGGTCGCGCAAGATCACGGTCAAAGAAATATATAGCGTGCTTGTTAGGCAACTTCTGCCGTTCAAATAATGCGCGCGACGAAATTTGTTATCACGATATTTTGACGCGATTAATTCGAGAATATATAAGAGGCGTATAAGTAGCTATAAAGTAGCATAGATGATTTGTTTATTTACATATTCTGCATATGTAATATTTAATAATTTGTGCATTTTTTACACATGTATTATCTTTTTTGTCTTTTACTTTGTGTTCGACCTTTGTTACTGTACTAGCGTGAGGAAATATTTTGCGCACGCGCAACACTTTTGAAGATTCCTGTCTTTTATCGAAATCACGGAAACCATCGCAACTAAATACCCCTCTCTGCTGTCTTATTCTTCTCACACGCGAATGCACGAGCATCAAGTCCGCCAACGATATTAACGGAAGTTACGCCTATATAGAACTTACTAGTCGCGACTTGCAGGCCAGCGTTGTTGGCCGGCAAGCCAACCTCCTATTATTAGCTATTCCGTACGTCGCGCATTTATGCCTCTCAGTGCGACGGAATGCAATTTCAAAATATGAAATTCATAATTCTTGAAAAATATTTTGTGATAAACTTTCAAGGAAAATGCGCGTTATCATCTTGATAGTTTAAGGTTAAATCAAAGTTGCAACTAACAAGATCAAAATTGTATAAATTTTCTGTTTTTAATCTAGAGTCTCTTCCAGGAATCTCTATTTTATGCGGCTCTCAATTTATGCATCGTGTCTTACGAAAGAACACACGAAGTTTTTCTTTCTCGGAGGTAGCAATACATGCGCTCTCTCCGGTATAATTTGACAAATTCCGTAACATACATTTCGAGCTGTAAGAGTTTATAAACAGAGAACTTAGTAGCCGGCTCGAGGTTCCGTCGTAAAACAACACTAGTTCAAAATTAGAAAGTGGTACTTGACGAAGAGTTCGTACCTACACCGCGCATGCGTCGACTTTCCATCATATCGCGACGAAACAATATTTGAAAGTCCGCGCGAAAGTCAAAGATCGCTTTGCTCCGTACGTTTGCCTCATCGCTTCGTGCTTCGTCTCTTCACGTTTTTCGCACTGTTTAATTTTTCGTTCTCTTTCTGTGTTCACGTCCATATCTCGCCTTTTCTCCTCGTCTTAACACTCTCTGCTCGTTTAACTCGCTTTCTTTTTCTCTCTCTCTCTCTCTCTTTCTCTCCTCTCTTGCTCGTTCCTCTTTATTCAACGTTTTACCGAGGTCGTTCTTCGGGTTCACGACCGAGACTACGGAGGTATTCTGTCCCTCTCGCTTCTGCTGCCCCTTCATCTCCCTCTCCTCTCTCGTCCTGCTACTTCTCGTTCTCTCGTGTCTTAGCTTCCCTCTCGTTTTTCAGCCTCTCTCTATTTTTAGAATGACACACTACCGCGATTCAAAGACGCGCGCGCTCGGACGCGTATCACACAGTCCTCGGAAAATGTTCTGTCCAAATGCGGCGAGCAAACGAGAACGAACGTTACGACAACTTGAGAAGGAAAGGAAAAGAGACAAAAACAAGAAAAAGATTTTCTCTCTTGGTTTTGCGAACAGGTGAACTTGCACCCCGCCACTGTATATCATAAGATCGAGTCAGTAATCCTCGTCACGACGAAGTTGCGAAAAAGTAAAACCTCACAAGATCACAGACGTCCAACAAGGTAAAGAAAAACTCAAAAAAGAGTTTTGAAAATCAACATTTTTAGAGAAATCAACATCATACAAGTACGAGATGAAAATGATCGAATTGAATCTTGACTGCTTTTCTTGTTCGAGAATTCGCGCATTTACAGCCCGTACTAATTAACTTACCGGCATAACCTGCGCAAGATTAAGAGATTGAGAGCTTTTGCAATTTCTCGCTAATAAAAAATAATTGATCACGCAACTGTATTTCTTGCAATCAAACATTCCTCGAGAATTCGTAGGATCGACGCGCGATTTACGATAGATCGAGATCGGAACAGCAAATATAATATAACGCAAATTGCTGTAATAAATATAACCTGTTTACGCAATTATGCGCCATTAAAGAAAAATTTTCTCGACGTTGATGTTCAACTAGCAAAGTTGTTTATTCGAGAATCGACACGAGCGGGGATAAATACACGCGAGAATGTTGTGGATCTTACATTGTATCTACGTCTGTCTCTTTTCGTGCCTGCTTAAAATGTTGCGATAGCATTAAAACGGCGCCCGCTAAGTACACCTCCGAGCATACCAATTTTATGGTGTGGAATTTATGGTGGAGTCGTCGGAAACGCAAGGTTTGCTTGTTTCTTCTTAAAAAGATCAGTCATTGCAATTAAATTCTTAAACTGTACACAGTCTTCTCTTGCGAACTCTGAAGTCGGCCAATAAATTAATGCAACCGCGCGACTGTACTTTCTACAGATCGATTTTATCGTCACGAATATTTCTGCGAGTGTGTGTGTAACTGTAAAATAGCAGGTACTGCACATAAAATTTCTACAAATTCAAAAGCATTTAAAATTTTAAATATTACGGTTTTAATATATTTTCTATTTATTAATTGCGCGACAAACGCGAAATAATTTCTCTTTACAAATCGACACTGTCAAAGTGAATTAATCTATACATGTCATTTATCTGTGGACAAGCGATGATAAACGAAAATTGAAGATGTATTCTCTTCATTTGCGAGCGAGATGTTGCGCGCGTCATTTACATCCACTCGTTTTAGTGGGAATTACACGACGTCAGACATAAAACAGCGATTAATCAGAAACGACGTAATTTAAAGGATACGAAACGTCAAATCCTGCGTGTACAAAATCATCTTCGTTGAGGGACAGCGTGTGTCTTGGGAAGATGTAATAGCTTTCCGGCCGTGATCAATAATGCAAATTTTATTTCTCCACCTCGTCCGGATCTAATGAATAATGCAAATGCTTCTCTTTTAAGACTCGGATTGATTCTAATAGATCTTCATCTCAATAACGTTGTTTTCGGGATAATATCACGTTAGAGCAAGTCGATCCAACAACGCGCACGTTTATCTTGCACGTCCGTGATAAATTAGAATTCCAGATCGTTAGAGAGCGCACGTTTCACTGAATTAATTAGGAAAGTATTTTTATTCGATCGTTCGCACAAATGTTTATTTTAATTAATTTGTAAAAAATATTAATTTTTATAAATTTATTTTAATTTAATTCATTTCCATCATATTAATATCCATCTTTGCGCACCACTTTCTCTATTACGTTTCTCTTGAGTCGTCTCTGAAAAACTTTGATCTGCGAAAACGCAGTGCACGCTTACGCGAAGATCTTCCGCGTGTCTCATGCGTCTCCGCGATGTGTGTGCTCTTTCATTGCACAAGTCAAATACATAAGGCGCGGTCCAGCGCTTCTCTTCCGCTATCTTTCTCTCTCCCGGATGCGTGCGCGGTGTCCCCTTACAGATTTCTGTGTGCAACTATAATTAGGTAACCGACACCAGGCCAGAGAGGCTGCAGGAATCCCTGTTAGCCGTTCAGCTATGCCGGGGCGCGGAAAGTGGCGCGCGCGAATATTTTCGGCGTGAGGAAAGCCGAAATTAAACGGTCGTCGGCACTTTTACCGCGCGCGAGCCTCGATATACTTATCCGGCCTTACTCCTCGCTCCCTCGTTTCCTTCACGTTCTCACTCCTTTCTCTTTTGCTCTTTTTTCAATTATATTTTGCTCGTTTTCCGAATCTCTCAATACGCGATTTCGCGCGCACACTTTTGATTCGTTCATAAATTGCCCGTGTTCTTAAAAAAGAAACCTGTCTGTTCCTCGGATATTTAAAGCGTGATCCGCCATAGAGCTGTTCGAAGAATTTCGTGCGATTCTTTCGCCGAATAATATCATCATCACGCACGATGAAAACGACATTCGTTGGCGCGTCTCCAGTTTTTATTGCTGCGCGCCGGAAGACTCCCGTGTAGGACTTCGACCACACGCATTTGCGAGGAACGGATTACCGAGATAAAGTTCTATGTCAAGGCCTGAAATCCGATCGATCCTCGTTGATCACGGATAGAAAACATAGACGACCGTGCCAAACGGCGGCGACACACGATCGCGTCGTTTCCGG